ACTTGATTGTCACCTGTTCACAGCTTTAACTGTATCTTAATTCCCAATATAATGTTAATGTCTAATAGAAATAAATTACAGTGCATGCAGGATGAAAGAAAACATAACAACCATACAATTACTGCAGTACACCCCATCTGTATAAAGTTTAGATGGTGGCAGTGATTTTAGCAACTTTGGCCAGTTTTGAAATATTTTCAGCTCTTTTATATTATCATTGTACAATATATTAATGCAAACTATTTGCATACAGTAGAGCAAGTAACACACAGCAGAGCACAGAATGATGGTGCTAACAGATGTTTAAAAAAAAATACCTTCAACCAAGTAATACATCAGCTTTTATTATTCCAGAACAAACATTGGAATCTGTTGGAACTTTGCTTTCTCATCTGCTGGATCTTTGCGTTCTCATGTGCACACAATGTTCCTACTAGCTACAGAAAATCTCTGCTTAGAGGAAAAAATATAATTTCTGATGAAGATCAAGTGAGTTACTCTCATGTGTGAGTTGATGTAGGGTTTGATTTTTGTCCTCTTGGGAGTATAATTCTTTTCTCAAAACAGCGCAACTATCAACTGTCATTGTAAACCAATGAAACTACCTTCTTACTGTATTCCAAAATGTTAGGTCTCTATATATTGCACTCTTGACATATGTTCAACCCTATCCATTAACTAAGCAGAATTATGTGTCTGAAGAAAGTGCGTCAGTTAGGTGACAAAAATATTTATGAACACCAGAGTTACGAACTAACCAGTGAACCACACACCTCATGTGGTACCAGAAGTACACAACCCGGCAGCTGCAGAGACCAAATAAAAAAAGCAAATAACAGCACAGTACTGTATTAAACCTAAACTACTAAAAAAAATAAAAGGCAAGTTTAAAAAAAAGATTTGACCAGGCAAGGAAACTGTTTCCGTGCTTGTTTCATTTAAATTAAGATGGTGGAAAGCAGCATTTTTCTTCTGCATAGTAAAGTTTCAAAGCTGTATTAAGTCAAGGCTCAGGTGTAAACTTTTGAAAGAACAATCATAACATTTTGTTCAGAGTTACGAACATTTCAGACATTAAAAAACAACCTCCATTACTGAGGTGTTTGTAACTCTGAGGTTCTATAGTACTCATATACTTCGTTATGTACATGCTTACGTACTTTGCTGGATCAAAGTCTCTATTTCTATCCTCTCTAATCTAGGTATTTATACTGCACCAATGCCTATGTTTTCTGAATACCTATGACAGTGTATGTGATGCTAATTACAAGGTTAATTTGGAAGAGGTAGCTTTCTGAGCTTCCACAACATAAATTACACCAGAATGACATATCAATGTATATGTAGCAATCAGAGCTGGTTGAAGTGTTTTGTTAAATGTTTTTTCACTGAAAAATGTTGTGGGTTTTTTTTTTTTGCCAAAATAGAAATTTCCATGAGAAATGTCTGTTTTCAATGGAATTTTTCAGAACTAATTGAATTCGAGAACTATGTTTTTCAACAACCAAAACCTAAAAAAATTTGGCTGTCTTGGCAAAAATTTTCAGTAAAACTGAATATTTTTGACCGACTGTCTAAATGTATTTGTATTTTGTTTGCTGAAAATGGAAAAATATTTGTTTTGGGGGGTTTAATTTTTTTTTTTACAGAAATATGAAAAATATTGAAAAATTTTGATAAATAAAATTTTCATTTTTATTGGAGGGGGGGGAGCGGGGAATCCCCTTTTCCTGACCGGTTGAACAGCAATCAGTATCTCAGGTTATTAAAAAACATCGGTATTGAACACATGCTAAAGCTAGTGGTGGAGAAGACATGTAAAGTAGAATTTTTTGTCTTCATTTCACAGACCTCAAAGCCATTTGAGCTCAATGTAGAATGTAATTAAGTTATTTTCAGGAAATAATGTGAGATGTAGGTACCATAACATTTTATCAGAGGTGGGTTCAGTGGAAGTTGTCACTGCAGTCCTTAGGTATAGGTCTCTTTGTGCCAAAGTGAAGTGGGTTTGCATTGCATTAACACGTTTGTGCTCTGTGGTTGGAATTATACCTTTGTTCTAGTTAATGTCAAGGCCTGTGAAACCACCATGAGAAATATTCTGATTTTAAAACCAAATATTTTAAGTTGATTCAAAGTTTATGTCTTATCCCTTCACTGGGGTAAGGGGTTGCACAACTGATTTTAGTCTGAAGCTTCCAAAATATTCCCTCAGAACTGTTGTATGTCTGGCTGTCTCTTTCCTTCTCTCACCCCCCGCCCACTCCAACGTACACCTGCACCACTCCTTCTTTTCACGTGTTTTAATCTCCACCGCTCAAGGTGTCGTCCTCTCATTGTCTCTTCACTCGCCTCTTATATCAGACCCATATCCTTCCCTCTGCATTACAAGAACCTCTATTTCCTCCATCTATGACCCTTTTCTCCCCAGTCTTCCCTTCAGGACCTTTTCTGTTAGTCACCGAACTCCTTTGCTGTAGAAACATAGCACTGTATAGCTGTAAAGGGGCCTCTTCTAACTCGTGTTTGTCTGGGCACAGTCTAGTGTTCAGGGCCACCGAAAACAAGAGCAAACTAAAGAGGAAAACATGTAAATTAGCCAGTGAGTATAGTAAAGGAAGAGAGCATTTTGTCATAGAAAACCAGAATGGATCCATCTGACTGTTACATTGCAGGAAAAAGCCCAGCTCAGTGTCATGTCAAGCAAGTCAGATATTCTCACTGAATTACAGGGGGGGAAAATTTCACCCTGGGACATTCCCCCAGGATTCCCATTGACTTTAGTGGAATCTGGTCAGACCCATATGAAGGCAATAATTGGTCTAAATAATTTCCAAAACCTTTACTTTTTAAAAAAACAATAATAATGCACAATGCAAAAATAATACCTTCCCCTCCACCAAATTCTCTGCCATGTTAAAACCATTTTCTGCAAGCCGCTGTTTGCTACTTTCAGGCGTGATACTTTCATAGTTTTAGAAATCATTGGTTTCTTGCGCTGTTGCTTAAATGACTTCCAGGAAGCTTGAAAATGGAATCTGATTCTTTACTTGGTGGACGTGCCAATTTGTTGTTGCAGAATTGTGCGTGACTGGTAGGCTTCTGGCATTGATTGGGTGGAAAGGGGGAGCAGGAGGGGAAGATGAAGTATTTGGCTTGAGGAAAATAGACACGTGGAATGATGACACGTGCTTTGCAAAGGGGGCCAGTCCCATTTTACTGAATTCAATAGGAATTTGTCTTCATTGGTAGCAGTATCAGGCCCAATGTTACATTTTGGGCCAACTGTTCTTTACACTATCCCATTAAGAAACAAACAAGCTGCTTTTCACATGATTTTCATTTACTAACTAATTATAGCAATAACTAAAACATTCTACAGACCAGGGCTGGGCAAACAAGTGACAATCGATGTGATAAATTTTGTCCTTCTTCCCCATTCACAAATTGTTCATGAAAAGACTTTGAGGTTGTTGGTTTTTTTTTTAGAAATTTGTTTACTGTTCATAATTATTTGAGGAATGTTTCATGCAAACCCATTTTCCTCTGAATTACTCACAATGTATTTGCTGTATGTACTTGCTATTAGTTATCACAGTATATCAGTGGTAGAAAAACTGAAAAAGTCCACTGAAATCTTTGTTAAAAGTGGTCCTTCTTTTTGGTAAATAAATAGTTCTTTTATTGATGATTTTCTTATCAGCTCTACCACTGTGAGATTAGTCATGTACTGTTGACTCTGTTCCCTGATTGATAAGTGCTACTGTAATGGAAAGCGGGGACAGTGGTTGAGACGGTGAACCCATTATTCTTGCAGGAAGAGGGAGAGAGCATTTTGTGAAGTTACAAGTACCTAGAGCAGTAGGACTAAGGATTTTGTAGGACACTTCAAAACTTCCTTTCTGGGCCTCTTGAATTAGGCCTTTCCTCAGACTTCACTGCTAGTCTGTTGTACTATAGTCTGGGATCAGTTTTAGAATGTGTTTTTGAGAAGCAGCATGGTTAAGTGGATAAGGCACAGACGTAAGTTCTAACCCAGGCTCTGCTCTTGGCATGCTGTGTGACTTTGAGGAAGTCACTTTACGTCTCTTTCCCCTCCCGCCTTTATCTTGTCTATTTAGACTGTAAAAGCTTTGTGCCAGGCACAGTCTCTTACTTTGTGTTAGTACAGTGCCTAGCACAATGGAACTTTGATCTCAGCTGGGCCTTTAGGAGCTAATGTAATGCAAATAATTAATAATAATAGTAATATTTTTCCTCTCCTGTCCTCTTCCTCATCTTCTCTTCTGATCCTCTTTGTCTTCACCCTCCTTTCATCTAGTTGTCTTTCTACCTCCATTTTCTCCCTAATTTTCTCAGTCTCTCTTGCCTACGCTTGCTTTCTCCTTGCCCTACAGCAAATTACTAAAGATGGGTGCTAAACTACATCTGTTTGTAATACACAGATTGGGCTCACTTGTGCCTTACAAGCATTGGTCCATGTTGAGTATGGTGCTGCCCTGAGAGTGACCATCTTTTCAAAATGCAAAACCAGGACACAGGCAGGAGCCCCACCCCCTTAGTGGCCCCGCCCCTGCCCCTCCTCTTTGCCGAGTTCCCGCCATCTGGCTAGGTTGGAAGCCAGAACCAGGCAGTGGTAAGAGCTGTGCAGGGAGACTGGGCCACTGTGGGGAGCTCTGGCCCCTCCACTTACCCTGGGTAGGGGGCTGGGATGCCCAAGAGCAGCCACCAGCTCGTGCCCCAGCCCCCAGGGTGCACTGACCAGGGCAGGTGGAGGGTCCAGGGCTCCCCACAGCAGCCCAGGTTCCCTGGGAAGCTCTTATTACTGCCCAGCTCCAGCTTCTAGCCTTGCCAGGGGCAGGGCCTCTGGGGGAAGCGGAGGAGCAGAGGGTGGGGCCTCATGGTGATGGGGAGCTAAGGCCCGCCTCAGCCCCCCACCCCACCGAGAAGAGGCTGGTGCCGCCCCGAGCCTCAGGCACACATGAAGCAGTGCTGCAGGGAATCCAGGACAAATGCTGTTCCAGAGTCATTCAGCCTTGGACCGGGACTTGAAATGTACATTTTGGTGCTGTCCTGCCCAATCAGGGACGGGTGGCCACCCTAGCTGCACTATCTCCACTGCAGCACTGGAAGGGTTTGTGCTAGATTATTATTTATATTATGGTAATACCCAGACGTCACATTTTGCTCAACACTGTTACAAATGTATCGTAAGAGACTGTTCCAGCCCCGACAAGCTTGCAGCCTAAATAGAGACAAGCCAAAGGGTGGGAGTGGAAACAGAGATACGGAGAGATAAAGTTACTTGCTCAAGGTCACACGACACGTCCGTAGCAGAGCTAGGAATAGACTGTAGGTCTCCGGAGTTCCAGCCCAGTAATCTCTGATGGAGACCCAACCCTTCTTTGAGCTCTCGAATGCACAGAGAGGGCAGAGGCTCTATCCTTCATTAGGAAGGTATATTAGGTTCCAATCTGGGCATCTGGCTGGCATAAAAACTGCCTGGCTCTTGCACAGAGGGGGCTGTCCTTTTGCCATCTGTCCTCTTGCACACCCACCCGGGGCTAGGAAAAGTCTAGCTCCTTACATGCAAGGGCAATTCTGTACATGGTGACCCCTACGTCCCAGGAATGAGAGATGGCATTTGTAGTGTTCTCAGGCAATACCTCATTTGACAATATGGTACTTATAAGACAGAGTCCTGTGGCTATCTTGCTTACTCACATTGACATCATAAGCCAAGGGAATATTTTTATAATAACGTGTTTTCCAAAAACCCTTGGTTCAGAAACAAGAGTTTTATTGTAAGTAAAAAGTTGTGTTTTAATACATGTTTTAATTGATACCCTGAAGGTTCTGCTCTTCATATTACAGGGCATCTCATGAACCATTCTGGCTTTGGGCTGCAGAACATCAAAGTTAATCTTTAGTTTTACTTCTATTCCAGAAACCATGAGTTGTGACGCAGACACCCTATAAATAGAGGAGCCCTCGGGGGACTGTATAGTCTTAAAAAATAACAAAATCAATATTAATTGATTGCAAAATAAATATTTTCCCTCCCTTGGTCTAACTTTAAAATGGAGCAGGCTGAGGGTTAAAACTACATGTTGTAAAAGTAGTTCATTTCAGAGCATGGGCCTGCCCCACCCTCCTAAATGTAATTCTGATTTCTGACTGTGATAATTACATCACTGTGCACCAGGTCAGTGAAGATACCAATGGACAACAAAAATGCACAAACCAAGTAAAAGAAGTAATGGAGAAGATAGGTTTGAGATACAATGCAAAGAAATGTAAAGTCATGTTAATGGGGACTATAGGGACAGAAATCAAAATTGGAGAAGAGAAACTGGAGAGGGTGGACAATTTTACGTATCTTGGACGTACCATCAGCCAAGATGGTACTAATTCTGAGGAAATAAGAGAGAGTCAGGAAAACAAACGCTGCATTTGGAAGATTCAAAAACATCTGGCAACTCAAAACATCTCCCTCAAGACAAAACTGGATGTGTACAAAGCAATTGTTGTTGCCATCACAACATATAGCAGTGAGACATGGCAATTTACCAAGAAAGATACGCAAAAGCTGAATGCATTTCATCACACATGTCTGAGAAGAATATTGGGAATAACATATAGAGATAGGAAGACGAATGAAGAAGTCAGAAAAATTACTGGACAAGGTACCCTCTCACAATTAATCTACAAAAGAAGACGACAGTGGCTGGGACATGTGCTGGGAATGGAAAAAACACTTACCAAATACTGCCCTTGAATGGAAGCCAGAAAATGCAAGACGAAAGAGAAGATCGCGAATACCATGGAAATGAACAGTTCTGAATGACATCAAGCACCTCAACATGAAATAGGAAGATTTGGAGAGAAGGGCAGTTGACAGTCAAGGATGGCAAATGTGGGTAGCCCAATGTGCAGCAAAGAGCATCAGAAACAAAACATTGTGAAGTGGACATAGCCACAGTTCCATTGACAATGGGATCTATTCACAGCTACCCACCCCAGAAATGATAGCTGCAGAGTTTGTGAAATGAACCAAACATATTTTCAAATGGACAAAATCTGTTTATAATCCTCATTGGGATGCTTGCTGTACGTTTCCAGCCGCTGTTTATATTGCTATTGGGGCAGCTGCGGAGTGCCTTTCCATCACAATTCAAGTTTTTGATGCTCCGATTGTCAGGCTCCGATTGTCAGAGGATCCAGAAGGCTCTTCTGGGGAACTGAAGGTTCACAACACACCACGACAATGGAAATTTTGCCATTGCTTTCAGTAGGAGCAGGACTGGCCCTGTAAACTGCAATTTGACATAGTATGTAAGTGCTAATTAGTCTGGGTATCATTCAGAGAAAGTGCGATTCAACTCGACTCCTCCCTCTTTATCACAGGTACATCCCTTCTTTTGTGGGGTGTGAATATACCACAGTTGTTATGAATTATACCAGTGTAAAAATTATGAAATGGAATGTGGCATCAGAACATGTAGACAGGATTTTCATTGGGAGGGAGGGAAGAGAGGGAAGCTTGTAAGGCACTTGTAGAAGTAGGTTTCTGTACAATCATCTTTACTTGGCTGTCTGCTGTGAGAAACATTCCTGCCTGTATGACTTCCGGGATGGTCATGACAGCCAGGCAAGAGCACACCATATCTAAATTTGGCAGTGTCCTTTAAAATTTCTCACAGGTCAGCTGGTCCGTGGCCTCTGAGCTGGGAAAGAACTCTCCCCCTTCCCTTCAACTGGCTGGGGATGCTGATGAGCATACTCTGGGGGATCCTGACATCTCTGTCAAGAGCTCAAGTGCCAGTGCCCGGGTGGTTGAATTTTGTTCCATTCTGAAGCACTCAGGCGGTGTCTGCAGAGATAGAAGCAACACAGTCATTCTTTCATCACTGGCTATTTTTAAAAATCTTTCTGTGTACCCTTGAGATCTAATTTGGAGATCCTATTATAATAACCTACAAAAGTCATTGCTTTGAGGTTGCTTATGGCACTTTGAATAAGCAAAGTATTCAGTGCCCATGTTGTGATGTAGATGAAATGTGCATATAATTAGCTTAATACAAATAAATGTGTATAGGGAAAGGGAAAGAAGTGTGCAGCGGGAATCAACAAACTGAATCTTTTAAAAAATGTCTTAATGGTTATATGGATTTTACTTTTTATTTTAAATCCTAACACCACTGAGGCACTTTGCAGGTCTTGCGTGTGGCAATTTCATTTCCAGTGCATTGGATCTGCACGGAAGCAGATGCAATACTGCTATCTGCAACCATTTTTAGCTTGCTCTAGCTGTACTTGACTTTGTGCATTCCTACACTGTCTGGGCCAGATCCTCAGCTGGCGTAAATGGGTGCAACTTCATTGATGTCAATAGAGCTGTTCCCATTTACGCCAGCTGAGGACCTGGCTCTAGAGTTACAATACTACGTGTGTTGATTTATCTAATGCAGGGTTTTCAACCTTTTCCATAGCACAACTCCATTTTCCACATTCGGACACCCTCAGAATGCCTCCAGTCTAGCCGGGACCCCCTGGCCATTTTGTAATATGGGAAGCACAGGGTGACTGTGGCTGACTGGCATCTATTCTAGTCTACGTAGGGTTTTCTACAATGCTTATCACCACAGCATCTGAATGCCTTCCAGTAGTGACTGCACATCTGTCACATGGTGTTAGTTCTCTCATCCTCTCCCCAGAGGGAGAAGCATGTGCAGTGGAGTATCTTGGTTTGGTAGTTTTAAAAAATAAACACATAGCAATGGGTACATTTATGTGAGAGGGCAAAAAAAGCTGCTTTGCATACGGAGTGGAATGTGGAGAGGTTTGTGATGGTGCTTAGTTTCTGTGGGGAGTTCATTCCACAGTCTCAGACAACCTGCTGAGAAAGTTTTGTCTTCTGCACAGTTGAGCCTTTTTCCTATGGAAGAGAGTTCCATTGTGCCAGAGGAATGGAGTTGTCTACACGGTCCTCGGCCCACAGCTTTATGTAGTCTTTTAGATATCCTGGGCCTCAGCCATGGAGAGCTTGGAAGATAAGGATGGAGACCTTGCACTTGATTTGAAATTCTATGGAAGCCAGTGTAGAGAGCAGGCTGATGTGCTCACGCTAGCCTGTGTTGCTGAGGAGATGTGCTTCAGTGTTCTGTACTAGTTGGCATTTCCTAAGTGCTGAAAATTTCATGCCCAGGTATATGGCATTGCTGTAGTCTAGCTGAGAGATGACGAAGGCGTGAATAACTGTTCATGACCCACTTCCACATAGAGCAGGGGTGGGCAAACTACGGCCCGCGGGCCTGTCCTGCCCAGTCCCTGAGTTCCTGGCCCGGGAGGCTCACCCCTGGCCCCTCCCCTGCTGCTTCCCCTCCCCCGCAGCCTCAGCGTGCCGCCACCAACCACCGGTGCTCCAGGCAGCACGGTAAGAGGGCAGGGGAGTTTGGAGTGGTGGTCAGGGGGTGGGGGGGGTGGATAGGGGTTGGGGCGGTCAGAGGGCGAGGAATGGGGGAGAGGGGGTTGAATGGGGGCAAGGGTCCTGGGGGAGGCAGTCAGG